CGTAGACCCGACAGCGTCTGTCAGATCTGTCACGTGTCCTATATAGGAACTCGAGTATGAACCTTCATACTCGTGTTCAACCTGTTTATCAATCTATCGTTTGGATTACACTCAGGCTATATTGTTGACTCGTTATATCCTCCTCCGATATTATCGTCTCGACAAACCCCTTCCTTCCCCAGTTGTCTTGCCCGAGAACCAACCCTAACCCTTTAGGACTAGCTACCCTTCTGGATTTAACAGCCCTTATCTAACAACAGTAAGATACTCAGTACACGCCCTCATATCTAACACACCCCCTTAGCTTAGTGCGTTATCGCTACCTAAGCTGATTAATTAGGCGATTAATCGTTAGAGTACTTAGTGAAGGTAGTCCTATATCTTATTAAGTGGTGTAGTTCTTGTCACCTCTACGCTCATTACGTCAACTAGGCCTAGTTGATTAAGTAGGCCTTGCCATTTATTAGCTGGTAGTACCTTTATAAGTCTATTGGCAATTATGTCGTCCGATCTAATATACTTAATGGTAATCGTCCTAGCAGCGACCTCTTATCTCAGCCAGTGGGTATGGATATCCATATGTTGAAGCTTAGTCTAGAGTTTTGATACTTCCTATGTAACTAGTCGAATTATCTATTTATTATTACATTGGATTGTGATTGTAGTGCTGGGCAGGTTGATCCTTAGTTCCTTTAATAATTAGGAGAGATATATTACTTCCTTAGCCACTTACGCGAGGGCTAGGAGCTCTACCTTAGTTATTAACGTTATAATGGTATCCTATTTATTTACTCGCTACGCGATTAGGCCACTAAACAGCTTAATTGCATATCCTTGTGAGCTTTTCTAATCTAGAGTATTATTGGTAAAAGAGGTATTACTAGCGACCTAAAGGGTATCTCCGCCTCCTAGCTGTAGGGCTTTTTGCCTTATTACTCTAAGATAAAGGAGTACTCGATCAGCTGCATCGTGGTACTCTTAGCCTGGGTTTGTAAGGAATTAAGCCAATCGTGATATGGCGAAAGTTGTAACGAGCAGATCGCGAAGTTCGTTATAGTGTTATGGTATATGGCACTAAGGCCTAATAGAGTCCTAGCGTACCAAGTGAGTTGGCTATATATACCCCGCGCCACACACTAGCTTTAGGGAAGTTAAGTATTATTTACTTAATACCATTAAGTTATCCTTTCACTATTAATCCTAGTATAAAGTAAATACTATTACCTATAGCTAGACCTTACATAATAATACTTCACCTCTAATAGTCTGAGGATGGCTCTAAGGACAACTCAAACAGCCAGTAAGGGGTAGGCCTTACCCCTAACCCTCCTAGAAAGCGGAGACCCTCTCATTAAATATAGAGAGGAGGAGCAATTAATACGTAACTCTAGCCTTTCCCTATTACTAGAAGAGCGCATCCTAGCCATAGAAAAGAAACGTGATAAACTTTACGCCCTACAGCGACTCTATATTCTAGAGGCTGAAATTACACAACTTAAGTATCTAAACTAAACCCCTAGCCCAACTACCCTCACTAAAGAAGTTGAAATCTAGGTTACCAATACGCGTAAGTATAACGCACCTAGCCTACTCTAGATAGTACATAGGAAGCGTATACTAAAACTAAAGGACCCAGCTAAATATAAAGGGAGGAATCTAAAGGAACATTATAAATTCTTTTATTTATATAAGGTAGCGTTTCGCCTCCTCCTATAGGAATTCTAATTAGATGAGGACAAGGTTATCTAGGTAATATAGTACTTAGAAGGTAACCCTAGAGAGCTATAGTATATATATTATAAG